CCTGCATGGGAGAGAAAAGAAAAACCTCAACACTGAGCCAAGTTACAAATGGTTATTATTTTCATGCACAACATTTAAATTATATTGTTCTCTATAGCCTCCTGACAAGGGCAAGTGGAGAGGAAAACGCTGAGCACCCTTCCCTGGCATCCAGTGACAGGACCCATGAGAATTCTCAAAACTGTGCCAAAAGAGGTGCAGACTGGACATGAGGAAGCATCTCTTAATGAGTGAGTGGTTAAACACTGAAAGATGCTTCCTAGAGGGGTGGGCAGCCCCAAGCCTGTCAGTGTTTAAGAGGCATTTGGACAATGCCCTTAACAACATGCTTTAACTTTTGGTCAGCCCTGAAGTGGTCGGGCAGTTGGACTGGGTAACTCAAGGTCCTTTCCAGGTGAATTATTCTAGTCTATAAAGTGCTGCTATTAACCAGTTAGTCAGATCATTTTAACCACCCTGGTAAAGAAAACATCTGTGTTTTAATTAACTGGCTCAAAGCACTATTAAAGATGAATAGCCAGCAAACAAAAAAAAGCTTCGTCTGCTCCCCTTTCACCTTGAGATTTGCTTACAAAAGCTGTTGCCAACTAAAATTCCACAGGGAATATAACAATTTCAGAGGGATAATAATTTGGAGGCTTCAAGTTTCACTTGAAAAAAAACACACCTCACAAGTTTGGCCCTGATAGATCAGAAATGAACTGGAAAAATTTCAGCATTAACAAAGTCTAAGATTTCATTGTTAGAATTACATTTATAAGATCAGGATTCAGCTGCTTGCTCAAAACTGCCAATAGAAAGTAGCTATGTACCTCCAACAAAGGCATTTCTTCTGTGATAATGGGATCCAAACGTCGATCAGGGCCATATTTGATAGATGTTTTTTCCTCCTTTGTGTTATTGAGTCGAGGCCCTTGGATTTCTAAATCTTGCCGTCCTCGCACAGATAACCCATTGGAGACAAACTTGCCTGAAACCATTTTTTTTTAAAGTTAGCTGTTTGTTTTTTAAAAAAAAATATTCATCATAATTTTATTTCTTTCATTTTTCTCCATTATTTCTTTTAGACACTTTCAAACATGTGCTTTAACCCTCATTTCCTCAATGACGTTTTCCCAGTTTTAGATGAATGACTCAAAACAGATCAACATGCCATTAACATACAATTAATAAACCATTTATATGTTAATATAGAGGAAAGCAGAACCAAAATAAAGTTGAGATGTTAAAATAATTACATCAGCCAAATTTAAATTTGGGAACCTATGCAAAGAACTTCAGTGAAGTATTTTAAACAAAAGTTGAGAGCTAACAAAGCAAAAAGATGCAGAAGAAAAAGGAATGGCAAAAGAGAATGAAAATTGTTATAGATTGACAGGGCAGAGAGGGAATATTTCAGTTTTTATATTTTTAATGGTTTCAGAATTCCCACAGATTTAAAAGAACAAGGCTTGGGTAGAGGTTACTTCATTTCTCATGGCATTCCTACAGGTGCCAACTTATCCTTTTCTAGTTTTTTCCCTTGTTTCTACATCCTTACCTGAAGGAAGGCCTTGCATTATGCTAGTTAAACATTAAACACTAGAGATCTGTTCTACTCTGCAGAAGCCATGTCTCCCCCCTCCAGAGACACACAATTTAAGGGAATAATAATACTACACTTACCTGTCTGTAATCCAACAGAAGGATCTATTCCATCTAATGTCACAGCACCTTGAACAGTGCCAAGATTATAAACGACTCCCAGAATATGTAGCTCCCCTGTTTGATGGGGAAAGAGCTTTAGTCTTGCCTGTGGAGATATGTTAAATTTTTGTTGTTGTTGCTACTAGAAAAAAAAAGTATTGTTACATTTAAAAGTCCAATTGCTGAATACACTCATAGCTGCATTTTAGTCATGTCAGATGTCACTGCACACAGTAACTACAGGTCATGTACTGGATTCAAAATTTCATATATACAGAATTTGCCAAACCAGTCCACAGCTTAGAGATGCTGATTATATTAGGAAAGAATCCTAAATTGTAATAAAAATTAAATCTAAATTGTAATAAAAATGAAATTTAATAGAAGTAGAATCACAGAATGGTTGAAGTTGGGAAGGACCTTTGGAGGTCATCTTGTCCAACTTGCCTGCTCAAGTAAGAGCAAAAAAAGTTGTTTCCCTGATGTTCAGATGGAGGCTCCTGTGTTTCAGTTTGTGCCCACTGTCTCTGGTCCTGTCACATCCCCCCCCAGATATCTATACACACTAATAAGATTCAGGATTTCCAGTACTTCATGAATCAGGAATGTATCTGTAAGTTTAGCATTAAGTTCAGGTTGTAACAAGTCTGAACTCCACCCCAAAGTTCAACACTGAAAAGACTATTTTTAAAACACAGTACTTACCACTTTAGTCTCCTCACTATTAATCAAAAATTCTGCTATTGCTTCAGTTCCTATCATATCATCATCACACGTTCCCTGAAAAGAAGAAACAGCTTTTCAGATATGATCAGTCCTAGGCAGAAGAAGTGCTATAAATATTACTTCCCACACCCTTCCTAAAGTGCTCAGTTAAAAAAATAAAAAACAAACACACAACTCTCAAGCTGTGGACAGCCAGGACCAATACATGCTCTATGTCCAGCTTCTCAGGCTTTCCGAGTTCAAGCAGCAGCTAGAAAACTCAGTAAACATTTACTTGAGAGAAATTTAAGATTTATCAGTATAAACTGGAATCATTCCAAACCAATTTCATCAACAGGCATAGAAGTATTTATCATATTAAAGCAGCAGTTCAGAACAGAAGGGAAAGCACATGGTAATTCTTGAGACTTAGTTATATGAAGTCATGTTTATACCTCTGCCAAACAACACCTTTAGAGATCACTCTGTTCCAAATGCTTTTGGCCAGAAAACAAGTTATTAAAGAATTTACTGTGATACTCAGCATTAGAACACATTAAAGCCCTAAAAATACACGTGAGGACAATCATCATAGGGCAGTTTTGGCAGTATTAGTTAAGCATTAAATACTAGTTAAGTAGTTCATCTTAAGTATTCAAAACATTGATTTTTAATACAATATATTTTTAGTTTTCTTCTAATCAGGATATCATGATGTTTTTTTGCCATACCAGCATAGTTTTTCAGAACACATTTCAGTATGTACAGTAGCCCCAGTAGCTCCAGAAAAAGGTATTTGATAATATACCCAGTAACACTGGGGATCATTGCTGCTGCTTGAAGCTAGTGTGACTCAAAACAGATGTACCACACATAAAATGAAGTGTTGGAAGTATTTTGCTTTCCCATACTCGTTACAGGAAGTTTGTTAACTCAGCTGCTTTGTGCCCTATTTTAAACAATGCATAAAGAAATTCAATAGCTATTTTTTTTCTTAACTTACACTTTAACCAGCTCTCTTCACACTACAGAACTTTAAAGATGTAAGTTAATACTCCATAACAGCAGCCATTTGGTTTTGGTCGAGAAAGGATGAAGCTTTCCTTACCAGCTCTTTTGTTTCTCCACCATGCTTTGCATTGAAGTCTTTAGGTTGAAACTTCCACAGCAATGAAAGGTCAGTCAGAAGAAGTGGAACTTTCAGAGGGTTTCTGAAGGACACTTCTACAGTTATTGGTTCTATTAAAAAAAAAAAAGTGTATTTTCAAAGTGCAAGAAAACAGTGAGAAGAAGCTATCCCCATCTGAAGGTTCTCCCAACTCAAAGCATTCTTCTGCACAACAACACTGGTTTAAATCTACAACACCACAGGAAATATTGTATAAATTTATCTGGTTTGAGGTGTGTAACTCTTACCTTCTATCACAGCAAGTGGAAATCTGGAGTTATCAGAGTAGCGATTTAAACAGAACTGGGTTGGTTGAAAATTTGAAGGTATTATTCCTTTATTTATCACAGAAACAACCTGCTCCTCAAGCTCCTTCCACTGCTGGGATGACTCCGAGTCATACTCCTGATCCAGGCTGACGTGTGTAGCTGCCTGCTTTTCACCTAGCACGAGTAAGGCAGTCTCAGAATGACAAGAACACTGGCACGCAGCAGTTGCACTGGCAATTTGGTAAGTCTTGTTAGAATATTTAAGCTCTCAGTCACTGTCATATTTATGTTACAGCTGATTTAAGTCAATGTGCAGCAGTTGCACTTGTTAGAATATTTAAGTTCTCAGTCACTGTCATGTTTATGTTACAGCTGATTTAAGTCAATGAATTGCAAGAAGTTTGGAAATACACAAGTGGAAGACAATACTGCAGATAATTTGAGTATACTTCTATTTGCAAATTGCAGAATTCCAAGATTTTAGCATCAAAATTCAACTTCAAACATTTCAGCCTAGAGAAAATTAACCGTAAAGCTGATTTCTAGTATTGGCACCAGATTTTAACATTTGCTGAGCTATTAATAATCCCTTTCATGAAGTTCACTCCAGACTTGCAATGAAGCTTTCCAGGCACGAAAAATAATGGAATCCCACATATCCAGATTTCATATTTACACAGGAAGTCTGGAAACATTTAGAGATCAATACCAAGCTTAAGCTTTTCTTTGGAAATCTTATTTAAGAAGTTACCTCGTCACATTAGTTCTACATAATGATAGATTGTTTAATGACACCAACTCTTACACATATTTTGGTTCCATAAATAAGGGACTTCAGCCTGTTTACATAAAATTTGCTCACCTTCTGCTGGTCTTCTATCATGCCCAAAGAAAACACGGGTTGCTGAGCTGTTAATGTAGGGCAAAGGAAGCTGTGGTAAGGGACCATCAGGTGAGAGCTGGGTCACGTTCTGGGGCAAGGGAGTAAAACAGAATGTCATGTCATTATGCAAATACATCATATCCATGCTGCACATTACCAGTAACTGATTGACAAGGAAACCAAGCTACAAGCACTCAGTGTTTGAACTGGTAGTATTTCAGATGGCATGAATAATTTCAGTTAACTGTTTTGGCAGTTTGATAGTCTGAAATTATTTTTTTCTTCATTAAGAGTTTAAAGTTCATGAAATCTTCATGGAAAAAGGCAAATAACTATTTTAGTCCAGCACTCTTTATCAATATTGTGGCTGTAAGGCTGTTCCAAGCTTTATTTGGTGAAAAGCTTGACTCTGTAGCACAGAATTTGATAAACTACATTCACTACACCACCATCATTATACACAACTCACTAAAGCTGGGCTGTGGACTCAAGCACCAGTCTTGAGCAAGGTCTACTGTAATTTCAACACCACAGAAATTCATTCTACAAGCTTTGTAAGACAGAAACTAACTGCACGGGTCCAAGTTGTGTGATGATACCAGCACTAAACACTCCATAATGTGCATGGTATATGACAACCCAGAATCACAAACCTGCAGCAAATTCCAAGTTGCCTGATCTATGAAAACCCATATTGAAGAAAAGATTCACTCCAATATGGATGGTGAGTAGTTTCTAGTATCAGAAAAGGTGACAGAGCTACCTAGTCTTTATTAAATGTTTATCATCAAAAGCCAAAAAAAAAAATTTATAAATTAAAACAGATATACTTCTAAATAAACCTGAACTATCACAAGCTGCAATTCAAGTATGACCCTCAAAAGGAAGAGTTCATTTTATTGTAATAAATACATCCTAAGAGTCATGCTAATACCCATCAGTGGGAGTAGAGTTAATACACGTGTGAAATGCAGCATATTTGTTTCTTTGAAGTTGAAAATAAAACATGAACACAGCAACTAGGTGAAAAAAATAAAACCCAACCCTGGAACAAAGCAGGTTTGACAGAAAATAATTAAATGGCTTAATAGAAAATTACTGGTAATAAAATTACTGATTACTCAAGGAATCAAGAAAGTCATTTACCTTATAAACATACAGATACTCTCTCAAAAAAGCTCCTTGCTGAGCTGGAGGTTGTTTGCTGTCATTGATCAGAATATGCCTGAAGGCAGACACAGCATTGTCCAGCTGGCGGAGCGTGAAGGACTGGCGACCAATGGTGAAGTTGATGTGGTCTTCTGCAAGAGACCAGCCTTTCCCTTTGTAAACCTGCATGGCTTGACAGTAGCAACGTAAGGCATGCTTTTTCTGCAAGAAAAAACAAACAAATTCATTCCTCAGTCCCATTAATCACTCATTTTAACTGTCGTGTTAGGAAGTAATTGTAATATTAGAAAGTCAGAAAAGTTACTGAAGCTTTTACCACCCCCCCCTCCCCATTATGCTGAGTGTAATATCTGCAGAACTAGACCTCATTGCATCTGCCCAGTGTTCATCTAAGCACAGAAGTGTTGGTTCCCACAGTACACAGCTTAGCCTGCATATTAAGTTCATGTTTTCAAACACTAGTGGAACAGGCAGCAAGATAAAAAGCACAAACAATAAGAGAAGACTACTTTTAAAGTAGTGTTCTGTGTTGCTTCAGGACTGACTGCTAAAGTCTACAGAGCTCTGCTGCCAAGCCTCAGGATAAGAGCTAGATCCAACACATTTCATTTCACTTTTGTTGTTCAGAAGACAAAATTGGGACAAAATCCATGCCAAGAAACCAACAAAACAACCCTAGAGGATACACAAGACAAAATCACCAATCGCATCAGCCACTGGGAGACAGATGCTCTGCTCCCAGTCAGCTCCACAGCTCCTTTCCAGCACACACCTGAGGAGCTGGGCATTCAACCCCAACTCTAGGTACTGAACATCTGCAGAGGCATTCACTGTACAGACAAGTCTCAGCTTCTAAAAAAAGGGAACAGCATTGCCCTATTTGCAGCAGTCACAGGAAAAACCTAAGATGTGTTCAAATTGGTGTGGTGATGACAGCAGGAGCAGTAAATCCCCAACATCATCAGATAGTACTGACATTTTAAAATAGGGTTTAACAGTATGCAGCTAAGCAGGCTGGCTGACTTCTCTTCAGTAGCTTTTGATGTTTTGGTGTCTCTAAAGGATACAGGAAAAAAAAACCCTATATACTGTACCACAGTACCTTGGAAACAGGAATCTCTACAAGAATTAGATAAAATGAGACAGCTGTTACATGAAGACAAAGTCAAAGCTTTATGAAATGCATGCACTCTTCTAGGCAAAGGAGTGAAATACCTAAAAAAAACACAAGAAAAAAACCTCCTCTGATCAACAGCTCCCTGTCAGTACTGTACTGGTACCACAGGAAAAGCTTTCCTTGGAAACAGAAATCTCTACAAGAATTAGATAAAATGAGACAGCTGTTACATGAAGACAAAGTCAAAGCTTTATGAAATGTATGCACTCTTCTAGGCAAAGGAGTGAAATAGCTTAAAAACACAAGAAAAAAACCTCCTCTGATCAACAGCTCCCTGTCAGTACTGTACTGTCATAATACACAGGGAAATCACTGCAAGAGGAAAACCAAAGAGGGGATAAAAATACTCCTGCTGTTCTTCACATCTGTGATTTTAAGTACAGAAGCCCAAAATACACCACCACTTTACTTGGTCCTTATCAAGATGATAAATAAAAAGATTTGGTGGAAGAACACCATCCCCCCCAAGACCACACAGCTTTGTTTCAAGCTGAATTCTGACGTGTGGGTTCTGCTGTATTACTGGCCTACAATACAACTTTCTGTCACAGGTCTGCAGCTTATCAGTGAACAAACTGACTGCATTCAAGGACAGCCCCATAGCTGACCTCAGTGGC